GTATATTTGTTATTTATACTTTGTTTTGTGAAAAACCCAAAATATTAGCATCTTTGATGCTCCACGCTGTCACGTTACTGACAACCCTCAAGTATTCTCTATCCCTTTTTTGTTTTCTTGTTTCAGATATTCGTCGTGTTCTTCTTCAAGACCCCAATCACTTTAGACGCGCCTTGCCCCGGCTCCCTCAGCGGCAATCCCTTCATTCCTCATCCAAATTCGTAAACGTCATTCCGTCAGAAGAGGACAAGGGTACGGCCACGAGGGAGCGTCCCGGGGGCTGCCGCCGGCCGCGCCCCCGCCGCCACATCCTTCACGTTTCAATATCCGAGGCCGGACGACGGTCAGTTTGCACGCACACGCCCAAAAAAACAGAATTCGCACCTCATGATAATTTGGTAAGAATTTTTTTCTCTTTTTTTGCCTTAAACTCTGGAAACTCGGCGGGGTGAGACAGTCTCACACCAAATGGTGTGAGGCAAAATACCTCACACCAAAACATACCTCACACCAAACGGTGTGAGACTGGTTGTGCCTCACACCAAATGGTGTGAGAAAGTATCACTCTATTTGCTGTGAGGCACAACGAGTCTCACACCATTTGGTGTAAGGTATTTTTACCTCACACCGTTTGGTGTGAGGTATTTTGCCTCACACCATTTGGTGTGAGACTGTCTCACACCTGAGTTTCCAGAGAACTTTTGCAGTGGGTGTGCTCTGTTTTTTTTGGGGTGAAAGGTGCAAGTACCCCTGCTCGGCGTACCCTACCCTACCCTGACGCGGGCCGACACTGTGTTGCAGTGCCCCGCCGCGACCTGCAGCGAGTGCGGCCCGGACGACAGGGACTGCGCGGTCATGTGCCGGCTGAACTGCGAGTGCGGCTGCGGCGGGTACCCGCCGGGCGGCATGGACTACAGACTGTGGGAGGCGTGCAACGAAGGGAGGGGGTGTCTGGGCCGGGCCGCCACGTGTACGGTGAAGTGCGTGGGGGAGGAGGACGAGAAGGAGTGCAGGGACCCGTGCGAGCGGGACTGGAGGAGGTGCGACTGCGGCTGCACGCAGCTCGCGGGGAACCGGACCAAAGTGCGCCGGGAAGTTAAAGCCGTTGGAAAGAGTACAAAAGAAAATAACCAAGAATCGTGACCTAAACACTGAGTCTGGTTTTGCGATACTTTTGACACAAAACCATGCGATAACTGGTGTTTTGCGATTCCTACGCTAAAGGGCATGATAACCCCCAAACGTGATAAAAGTATCACATTATTGTGATATTTTTATCACATTTTTTGGAGTTATCATGCCCATGCAAATCACCAATTATCGCAAAAATTCAGTGAAAGTATCACAAAACGGATTTCAGTGAAATGAACCCTGCGCTCGTATGCTAATCCGTCTCCTTACATTCCAGGAAAATTTGTTGAAATGAAAATATACGCTATTTACTACAAACAACCATGCAGCTTTAAATTTACTACATACTTCATTTTTGCTCGAATTTCAGTGAATGTATATATTTCTTAACACAAAGACACAGAAAAGAGGAGACTGAGGGAGGGGAGAGGCGGAGAGACAAGGGGGAGGGGGCAACTTTAAGGGAAAGAAAGGCGGGTCCGAGCTGACTCATCGCGAGCAATAACATTCATGGACGCAAATCTAAAGGCGTTTATTCTTTCCGTTATGATTCAAACTTGGAGGCGGGAGAGCCGACGGCGGCGGGCAGGGCCAGTATTTACACGGCCCCAGCTTCCTCTCTTCGTTTCCAGTTCCGCTCACACAAGCGCCGCGGCCCAACAAAAAGTGTTTTGTTTTTTGTTTTTTTTTCGCGCCGCCAATCAACTTTCAAATTGGGGTACTTTTCCCGCCAAGGAAGTGAAAATTGCACCCTTGCCCTGCGGCGCGCCTCCTCCCCGCCTTCTTGTCCGTGCTATTGTTGTTCGGTCGAGTTGGGGAATGACCGGTATATATCACTTGTCAGCGCCCTGCCCCGCCCTGCCCCGCTCCGCCCCGCCCCTTCACCGCCGACCACAACATAGCCAGTTTACACTGCTGTTTGCCTTTCTTGTTGTTGTTTTTTTTCTGTTATTTTCACCGATGTTTTTTCTTTAAAATAAAGATCTTTGAAGCGAAAACATTAAGTACCGTCAAACGGTTTAATATGGACCATGCGAGGTAAATTGGACCACCTTCTTTTGGCATCTCTTTGACACAGATTGCAAATATAAACCAGTCTATTCCTTGGATTCCATTGGGTTGATTTAGGTGGACACATTTAGATATCAAAATAATACGCCCCATGGCAGCCACAATGAGGTGGTCCAATTTACCACGCATGGTCCATATTAGATCATTTGACGGTAGCATATTGTCTGACTGTGATTTTTATAGGCGCGTTCTAGCAAACACTCAGGTTCAAAAAAGTCCATACAAAAATAACTATTGCCCACACCAAAAACTCATAATTATCCACCAGCACGGTTTCCCAAAAAAGGAAGTAGGAACAGTGAACTGCGCAAAAAATTATTTATTGTTTTCACAGAAAAATTTTCTTTAAAAATGTTTAAAGTATGCAAGATGTTTTGTCCCTCTTTTCATATGACATTACGTCTCGAGGTTTTCCTCGACGGGCAAGAATGAGTTGTAAATTTATTACAAGATTGTAATCAGGTTAAAATTTTAAAATTAAAAACGAAAAGAAGTAGATTTTAGAAGAAAGAGTAGCAAATTTTCCTCGATAGTTTTCATAGCGTTCACAGGGTGCAATCTGCATGCGGTTCCTTGCTGGGTCATCCAGAGCTAGCCGGAGCGTCCCAAGCTGGCCCAGCTGGCCCGGGAGACGGGTGAGCCTACCCTTCTGCGACTGTGGGTAATTACTTCCGCTTACAGCCAGGGGGAGAGGAAAGGAGTGGGGGGGGGGAGGGGGCGATGTGGATCGCATAGCTCACTGGAAGTCCGGTGCTGCTGCTCTAGCAGAGTGGACAGTGTTCCGGCACAAGCCCTCATCTCCAGACTCGTGCCGCACTCGGGTACGGGGTCGCAGCGAGCAGCGACGCGCAGCATTTTAAAACGCCCGCCGTATCTCACCAAAACGCAAACGCGAGGATTTTTTTTTTACCATCCAGCCAGAGTTGGCACGTGGCAGAGATGCGGCCATGACGAGTGCTGATAACCTTTTCTACCGTTTCTACCGCCGTCCCCGTCCCTCGCTCTGCGCTCCTCCAACAAACACCGCCTCCCCCTCGGCGGACCCCTGTCAAGCGGAGGGTAGGCTGCCAGGCCAGCGCGGCTCCATCGCGCTGCCTAACCACCAGGCGCTCCGCTGAGTAGACGAGACGAACCCTTTAGACCTGGACCTCTTCAACTGTTCCAGTACCCCTATAGTACCTTCACTTTGAATTATGGTAGGAAGGTTTACAGGAAAATTTTCCTTGACGTAAGTTGTAAAATTACAATTTGAAAATCGTAAATATACATGTAGTACGTATCGACTTAAAATCCTTTGGAGAGTAAAAAATGTGCTCTCGTAAATATACATCTTAAATTATAATTCTAGTTTACAAACATTTTGTAAATTTACGACAGTATTTTTCACAGTGCTTGCTTAGGTTCATTTTAAAAACTTTAGGAATCTGTATACAGATCTTCACGAAAGAAAAAAATAAAACTCACGCTTTGCGTCTCTAAATTTTAACTTCTTCCAATTAATCTTTTGAGAAAAAGAAAGCACCCTCTACCGCTCCCCACCTCATTTCGCCCTTGGCCCTCCAGCGACATTGTTTCCCCTCTTTTATTAGCATAACTCTCACGCCTCACGTGCGACTGGTCCTCCTGGCTTTGATTGCCTAAGCCTCGGCCTCCCCTTCCCCTCCCCTTCCCTCACCCCTCACCCTACAACTTCCATCACTCTCGCCTTTCTCCAGTCTTTTCCGATTCCTGAAAACGCAAAAGCCGAGTGGACTTGGCGACTTCTTTCGACACAAGGGTTCAAAATCAACCAGATTTCTGTCTATAACAATCTGTATAATATGCTGTAGAGGCACGCACACAAAAAAAATATGGCACCCTAGCTATTTTTTTAGCACTGGTGCAAAAAATTCGTCAGCATAGGCCCAGCTATATTTTTTTAGCTTCAGTGCTAAACTTTTAGTTGTACAGCAAACTGAAGCAATGAACTAGCTGTATCGCCAATACTATTTAGCAGTACAGCTAAATATTTTATCCTATAGCTAAATTTTTGGCAGGGGTGCCAAATTTGCCTGCTAAATCGATTAGCACAGAACCGATTTTTATTTTTTTTCCGTGCGAGTGGCACTTCAGTAGCACGAGACCACGCTCTTCCTTTAACGCGTTTTACACCCGCAAAAGAGAACACAACTTATTTGGTAGGAGTATTAAGGAGGTCATTTGGTCTTTTGCGAGAACCAGTTCAGTGCAAGAAAGACAGATTTCAACACATTGAGTGCGGAGTGGCCACAATGTGGTCACGTCCCCATTCTAAATCGTAGGCACCGAAACTGTCCCGCACTTTTTTAGGACAAAATATAAGATTTTTCAAAAAAGGAACGAGTTACTTTTTCTTTTCCTGTGCCCTCCAATCCCACGGCGCCTATCACCACGGCGCAACCTTTCCTATTTCAACCCAACTTCCACCTCCACCGCCCCCCTTTTCCTCTCCCATATTTCTCGTTTTATCGCAGACACAAACTTTTCCTATTTCCAGACGGCACACTGACTGCTACTCACGTGTCTGGCGGCCTCGGTGACGGGGGGAGCACGTGCTCGTCGAAGACGGCGGCGAGGGCAGCGGGGGCGGCGCGACCGGCGGGGGCGAGGGCTGCAGCGCGAGTGGCGCGCCCCCGGGGGGCGGGCAGCCCGCAGAGCGCGCGAGAGGGCGGGGAGGGGAGGGCGAGCGCGGCGGGAGGGAAGGGGAGGGGAGGGAGGCACCTGTCCAGGGGACAACGCCGCGGACAGCGGAGCAGAACGGAAAAGTAATAATAATAGTAAATGTCGTGATAGTAATAATAGCACTCATAGCAACCACTTCAAAAAATGGGCTCGAAACCCTTTTTAGGCCCCCCCAAGGGGGCCTTTCTGCTCGCGTGCGAGGAAATTCTTTTTCTTCCGCCGCATTCATTAAGGTAGCGCGACTTCTGTTGAACAGATTCTAATAAAATTTTATCGAAAAATCAATCCAAAAATTAGATTTCATTTGACTATAGCCTCATTACAATCCTTCTGGCCAATTTTGAGAAAATTAAAGTTAAACATCGAAATTATCACGAAAATCGGCAAAATCCTGCCAAGCCAACAATGGTTCCCACTTCTAGCATTCTTTCTGTTGATCCCTGCGGCTTACATTCTCACTTAACAGTAAAACGTATATGAGACAAAAATTCAAGACCGAACATTAAACTTCCGAACGATATGTTCAAAATTTTCGTGCGACGTTCCAGTCGACAACCACAGCAAGCTGAATAGTATGCGACATTTACGCTTATTCTTCGTGTCTTGTTTTTAAAGTCTAGCGCAGTTAGTATTGATTTAAACAGGGAAGTGTAAGCGAGCCGATTGTGCACCGTTCTTTAAGCTACCGAACAAGCTTTTAATCGATGCCATAAAATATCCCAATCACAACTTCTACCGATTTAAAATCAAAGCTGCACAGTTTGTTTAGAAATGGGCGTGGCTACAACAATCCTGGGTAAAGGAGGCGTGGCTTCT